AAGCTGTACACAAGTCTGTGGACATGAACGAATTACTACAACATTTTGGTGACTTGGATGTACTTCCTATTTATTCGCTTGATAGCGCTATTTGCTAAAAACTCAAATAATGAGAATACATTCTAAGGCATATTTCTTTAGTTCAATTATGCTCTCAGTCATTAAAATATTTCTCTATTTAACATATCGATTATTAGTAATAAATTTCACGAAACCAGCGTCCCCTTGCACAGCAGAAAGAAATGTAAACATGAGCGATAGAGGATGAGGAGAAAGAAACACTATGTTGTTAAGAGAATCTTCTTACATCCAGGTCATACAAGCCATCCTTCATCCTTTCAGGGATTAAATAGTTTCATACATCCATTATAAGAGGCAGCAACTCCTCTTATATCATGGGATTAAGGTAATTATATTTTGTTAATAAATAACACCCATCAAATAAAATTTTGCACCCAGGGGCATTGTCCCTTCCTTCGCCCAGCTTAGTCTATAGTCAGATCCACTACTCTCTATAAAACCAGATTTGATCATTCTCTACATTAATCTACAGAGAAAAAATAAAATAGTTTTAAAACTTATGTAGAGTCTTCAATAGTGGTTATATGCATTACATCAAATTTTCAATGAATACCTAATTGGAGGATTAAAATGATGTTATTTTGAGGATGAAAAGTACTTAAAAAACCAATTAAAAGATCACATCTGGTTTGTAATTATACGTACATAAGAGTTTAATTCAATATAAATTCATGAATAAATTGAATTTATAATCTCAATATCTATAAATAAATCCATGTGTGTCAAAATTCTAATCTAATGAATTTCTTTGTGGATTTATCATTTTATATGTTTTTGTATATACTCACAAAATCTATCATAGTGAGGTAGTATTGCACAACAGAATCAATAAAATATTTGTATAATAATATGGCTACAAAAGCTTAATCTATTATGACCTCATCATGTTAGATCATGACTTTGGAATATTTTTATAATCATTTGATTGATTAAATTCTAATTGTTCATCATGAACGTATGACTTCTTATTGAAAAAAGTTATATTGCCAAAACTAAAATTTCACATGTTTGAAACGTGATTCAATTATAATATTTTTGAAGCAATTCGGATATGTTGTGAATGTAACATGTTCATTACTTTTGAGATATTATCAATTCTATTTTGATGAAATCAAAACTTTACCAGACTTGATCAAAATAATATTCTCTGGATATATACATTATTGCTTAATGATAAAATTTATTGATTTTTTAATTGGATATCTGAACTAGTAGAGGTCATGTTGTATTTGTTTCCAATGATTTGGATTTCGAATTAATTTTAGATTTTAAACATTGTATGATGGTGAAAAATATAGAAACTTGTCTAATTTGATTTGTCCATAATTTCAACACCTCCCCAAAGCTAATTATTCTTGGAACCCCTCTATAATCTCAAAAGCTTGTTTTATACTTTCTGTAGAAAATTATGTGATGGTTGGTGAGGCCTTTCCTAGTGTTCAAACAATACAAAGACATTGATTCATAGAACCAATTTCAAGCAATCATAAATCTTCCTTAATCTAATTAAAGTAGTAATCCACTCCATCTCTAGCTAGTATGCATATAACAAGAGGGCAACAAGAACCACACCTTGATCGGCATCCTCTTCATCCACATTTTGGGCATACATAAAGTCAACACATTAATTTGGAAATTACCCATGGTGAAGTCTTTCCTAATTTTTGTGAGATGTCTAGTTATCTTAATTTTCATTTAAACATAAAAATATTTGGAGCCTTTTAATCAATTTTTGGTGACTTAGGACTATGATGTAGAAGAGAGTTTTAGGATTAAACTATGTGGGATTTGAACCCTATAATCAATGATTGTGTAGTGAAGTTACGGTCTAATGGAACCTTAGAATATGGGAGTTCTTAGAGAGTGAAGATAGGCAGGGACTAAACCACTTAGAAAATCCTCTAGTCACACACATTTCTATCTAAAAATGCTATTAAACTTAACAGTCGAGGAGAGAACATGGGAAATATTAAGAATCATTAAAGTGTCAAAACTAGAAGTTGAACAATTCAACCCCCCTTGTTGATCTTATTGAGGCCTAAAATTCAATACAACTCAGTCAACATATCTGATGGATTCTTCAATCCTCTAATGTTTTCATCTTGCAATAAGCTAGCAATAAAATTGTACATCAATTATATGTGTTTTGTTCTGAAATAAAACATGGGGATTTGGTTGGATAAATTTTTCTATGATTGTCAAAAATAACCCAATATTTTGAAATATCTTGCCTATTTCTGTAAGGAAATGCTTCAACCATAATTATTTCTTACTTCTCATTATAACTTTTTCCATAATTTTTCTGAGTGGTAGGGAGAGCAATTACTCTCTTCAATTGTGAAAGCCAGCTCATAATTTTACCCACCCAAGGTATAAATGTATCTAGCAGTTCTTCTACTCATATCCACATCACTTGTAAAATCTGAATCGACAAAACCTTCTAATTTAAAAATATTCCTCTTAATCTTTTCACTAGTCTCATTAAAAAAACTGTACCAGATCTAATTTAGATCATGGCATACATGAAGCTACCTACTGCACTGACATAAATAATTGTCTCCATATGTTGCTTCTCCTGTTCTATGTTAAATGATTGTCCCATGAGAGCTTGAAGTGATGGAGTTAAGTGTACCCACAAGACTTGCAGTATGCATATTTAACCAGAAAAGTAACTTCTCAACATGATCTTTTGAGATAAGATTCTAACTTGATTAATTTTTATTCTTATGCCAGCAATCACACTGACTTGTAGTTTGCATATTTATCCTAGTAACTTCTGAATGTAATTCTTTTCAGATAATCCCTAGAAACTAAAAACTTCGTCATGGGGTATTCTGATCTGAAAATTTTACTTTTATACCTCCAAGTCTTTCATTAAAAAGTTATTTTTTAAGTTTACCTTTATCTTCTTGAGTTCCTACATGAACACCCTTAATCAAGATATCACCAGCATAAACTAATAGAATGAAATAATGAATCTCAAACTCTTCAAATAATAATTATCATTTATTTGATACCTCATGAAATCATTTCTGGACATGAAACCATCAAATTTCTAAAACTACTATTTCAGTCCATAGATACTCTACTTCAACTTACCAATTTGGCCTATTTACTACAAATAAAAACGCCTATATGTTGCATCATATGGATATTTTCTTCAATGTCATCCTAAAAATTAAAATATTTACATCAATTTGGTCTATTAAAGTTATCTCAATCATTAAGATATTTTATCTTGTATATCATTTCACTATATAATCTAACCCTTCGTTACTGAAGTGCCAAGCTTGATACAAGGAGTTATTAACATATTAAAGTCTCAAGCATGATAATTGTGCCTCCATAACTATTTAACAAATCCAAAGAGCCAACATAATTACTCATATATTCCAATAGAAATATTAGCATACTCTTCTATTCTACAACATATTTACATATACTTCAAAATGATGTTTGATACATCGTGGTTATCTGTAATGCAATTTCCCATAAGGTGGCATCTCCCGAAAGTTTAGTCTTGGTTAAGTGCTGATTTCAGACCATTACTTCTCAAAACATTTCGTTTTGTTTTATTTGCCTTCAGGTTTACAGAAAATCTTGAAGTAAATGTTAAACTCAAAGGTACTAAACATGGCCGCCTTAGTAAGAGTGATCAAAGTTCATCATTTGAGGCCCAGTCATTATTACTTTGCCGTTCATCTAGGGTTCGTCTCCCTGATATTTAAGACGAGGGTCGAAGAGTACGCAGAGTTGTAAATAATCTCTTCCACATTGATGAGGTTCAATCCTTAGGGGAACTCCCCCAGCACGAGTAGAACTCGGTCCGTGGGGGTACTCCATGTGATGACGAGAGACGGAAGAGCACGTCGTGCGGCCCCGAGTCCATCGGAATCCGGGCTACCAGGGCGTTTTCATGAACTTCCCTGGTACGCACGTAAGGGGGCATACGCTAAAGAGGGTTTGACGGATTAATGTCGGTATTCCTCGAGACGTCTCCTCCGGCTGGGGTCTCGAGTCCCTTCGAGCGTTAACTCGTGCACCAGAATCCGCCCTACAGGGGGGTGTGAGCCGGCGATTTTCAGATGCCCTTGCGGCGACACGGGGGATGGAGAAGCTCCCAGCTCCTCTTCCTCCACTGCATAGATGGTGAGAAAGTGAACGCGGAACAGATGAAACCGGACAGAGGCGGCACACGCCGGCGGGGATAGGGCAGGCACACGCCGGCGACTGTAAGAGGAAGATCAGTGCATCATTTCTCATTACAGTAATGAGACAACTCTACACATCAAATTTCTAGACCACCCATGTCTTGATACGAATAATCGTAAGAGAATCACAACTCACACTCAGCTTGACAGTCCGCACCACAGCGCATTTTCCGTTCAACGCCCTTCCAACGTACTCTCGCTCAACCCATAAATGGATGATCTCGGCGATCTGTCAGCACGGACCCTGAGATTTCTTCCAAACGAAAAACCAGGCTGCTTCGGCAATGGCAACGCACAGCTTTCACTTGTCAGAATAGAAACGACAAAATTCATAGTGGGTCTGTCCGCCGGATTTTCCTCGATGCACAGTAATCCCACTTGAATGCACTTCAGCACTTCGTCGGCCTGGAATGATCTCTTAATTGCACGGTCCAGGAGTTCCATGGCTCTGCCTTCTTTCCATAGCTGCCACGCCTGCACCATTCAGTCGAGAGCACATTGAAGTTGAAGGAAGGGGAAACCGTTTAATAAAAATCCGTCGAACTACATTATTCCGAAACGATTCTTATGACTGAATCTCATCAGGAAGCAAAGCAGGTGGCCGGAACTCACATATCCCAGAAGATTCAGTGACTCCCTGCAAGGATAATACCCCGTGCATCTTTTCCCACTGATGACTTCCAAGACGATCACGCCGAAGCTGAAGACGTCAGATTTCTCAGAGAAGACGCCGTCTATGGCGTACTCCGGCGACATGTATCCACTGCACCCACAGCCCGAAATTCAGCGAGATTAGTCACGATAGGAGGATGAAGCTGATAGAAGATTCGGAACTTGATTAGAACCTACAACGTTCCGACGATCTTCCTAGTATTTCCTTCGGTCTGGTTTATTTCAAATATTCTTGCCAACCCAAAGTCTGAGATCTTGGGGTTCATCTCGTTGTCGAGCAGTATATTACTCGTCTTCAGATCTCTGTGTATGACGCGCATTCTAGAGTGGTGATGCAGATAGAGAAGCCCATCCGCTATCCCCATGATGATCGTCAAACGCTTCTCCCAACTGAGTTCCACCGATCTTGCTGTTTCCCAGTAGTAAAACCAAAAAGCATTAATTATTTACGAAAATAGCGAAGCTTCAATCCTTCCCGGCAGAATCGGAATCATAAAAGTCCAGTGAAGACAAACCCACCGAATACGAGCTTGTCGAGGCTCTTATTGGGCATGTATTCGTAGATCAGAATCTTCTCGTCTTGGTCGGTGCACCAGCCCAGAAGACGAACGAGATTCTTGTGTTGCAGCCTGGCGATGAGTCTGACTTCATTGGCGAACTCGTGATGGCCTTGCTTGGAGCCCCTGGAGAGCCTCTTAACAGCTATCTCATGCCCATTTCCCAGCTTCCCCTGAATAGAAAAGCTCTGATTTACTTATAGGTATATAAATTTATATACATATATTATAAACATAGGAGTAAGAAAGGACGAGAGAGTGTGAGAGACAGTTCTTTTTGCGCGGTTTTGATGTATAAACCGCGAACTAGTTCATTAACAGGAGTGATCTAACAGGCAAGTTACTGGTAATAACCTTGTAAACGGAACCAAATCCCCCTTCGCCGAGCTTGTTCGCATCTGAGAAATCACCGGTGGCACATTGTACACTGTTGAACTCCACTAAAGGCACCTCTGAGAAGCCTTTGTCTCTTCCAAATGTGTCAGATAAGTCAACGTCCTCTAATATCATCGTTTTCATTGGCGTCCTCTTCCGCGCTTCTGGGCATACTTATTTGTCAGCGAGGCTAGTCGTCTTTTGGCCCAAAAATATAACATATAGGAAAACATGTTACCGCGTGATCGAAGTCTCTTCACCAGGAAATAGGAACCAGCTCCGACGAGGAGTGCACCGATAGCTACTACCGGTAGCAGGAACTTCATTGGTTTTTGGTTTTCATCTGCGAGCAGGATCAGAGATTCATGGTGCATTACCCTGTGCGTTCGATGATAAATTTAAATCGAGCTTACCGAACTCTGACGCCACCAGCCGTATGTTCAGGTTCTCCCAGTAAATGTTATGGTCGATCTCAAGATCTATGAGATCTCCATACCAAATTAGGCACATGGAGCCGTCTGAGTGTACACTCGTGCTTGTATAAGCGTAGGCAGTGCATTGGCATTTCGAGATGCAGTCGTCCCGGCAATCGAGTTCGGTTTTCTTGTCTATCATCCTAGACCTATCCGGCAGCTTGGCCCTTTTCACCGGCAGGAACTTGTCATTTTTGCTGCACTGGAGTTGAACCCTCCTAACGCAGCCACTGGAGAAGGTTCTTGTCTCCCACTCGGTCTGGTTCTTCGGAACAAACCCGTGTAGGCAGATGCAGGTCGGCGGTTTCGCGTTGCAATCGCAGGCTCCCGACGGCCCGCAGAGATTATAGGCGTCGCAGAACCTGCTTGGCCTTATCCAGAACGGGTGCCACTCACTCCATGCCTCCACCCACACCATCATCTTCAGCTCTCCGGAGGCCTCCAGAGCCCATCTTACCGGGGCAGTTCTCCCAACGATGAAGAAGCTGAAAGAGAATTCGTCTCCGACCCGTGACACCCAAACCACGCACTGAACTCCACTTGTAGAGCTTACTTGCAAGCCCAAGACACTTTTCTGGGAGATCCTGAAGTAGGTCTCTGATCTCCTCCAGATGACGATTTGGTCGTAGATGGGACCGACGGAGAAGTCTCCAGAAGAGGGATCGTCGACCTCCCTCCACGCAATGACCCTCTGGGCTAAGCCCGTTTTCTCGTTGTAGCGAAGCTTCATCTCTGGCAGAATAGTGTCGGTGGGGTGATCGAAGCTCTGCCAGACGTCCTGCCCGTTTCCCTGTCTCAGAACCAGATTGCCCGACTCCAGAAGCATGGCCACCGTGCCATTGGCGATACCAGCCAAGTCCGAGGACCAGACAAAGCTTCTGTTCGAGTCCACCACGGCGATGTTCTTGTCCTCGGTCATCGTAAGGAAGGCGGCGGAGTCGGTGACAGGATGATCCCTGTTGGCGACCCAGACCACAGTCCTTTTGGGAATCTTCTTGTACCATATCCCTAGGAAGCGATTTTTCCTCCCAAAGGACTCGCTTCTGGAGTCGAAGAAGCCCAGGACGAAGGTCCCGCCGGCGGACACGAGAGTCTGGTTCCCGGTGATCGCCTGGGCGGGGGCCAGTACGTCGCGCGCCCCCGTCGCCAGAAGCTTGGGCGGGGATATTGTGCACAAAAGAAGGATGAGGATGAAGAAAGAGAGCCCACACATTGATCTGGAGTCTAGTCCACTTCGCTTTTCCGCTATACCGTCTCTAAGGTCCAGAATCCTTCTCCCCTGTCCCGGAAGAGATGTTAGAGGAGACGGAGATGAGCAAGGAAAAGCCGTATCTCAGTTTCAGACGTCGGAATTAAGATGGGCGAGCTCCATCCACCTCTCCGATGGGAACTAGTGCACCGGTTTTCGGAAATCCCCTTAGCGGACCTCTTTATCGTCGTGTCTGCGAGGTCCGACGGTCAAACACGGGTTCTTAGATGGATGTCGCATCTTTCCCGCGGCGTAACTCCAGCGAGAACTCAACAAACCATCGGCAGGCGCTGGCCGTTGATTTTGCATCTTTTACAGTCCTGCCGGCGTTTCCAGGGAACTGTGATGTGGTTTCTGGCTGGACAAAGATAGTGACCTGTTCCATTTGCATCACGACAGTGGAGTATTATCCTTCAGCTCGCATAGTAATTTAACATTAAATGCGGTAACTTTAAGCTTATATGTTTAGTAAGCCACTTTGGCTCATTCCTCATCAATTCGATTCTTGCATTATCAGCACCATTTCATCGCCGTAACATAGATATATAAGTATATATCGTGTGTCATTTTACAGCGTCCCATGGCTTGGTGACTGTTAACTGGTCCATCGTGACACGTAACAGGGCCATCACGCCCATGATCCGCATCAACATGATGCTGCTTTTTCTGCCACGTGGGTTGGCTCTATAGTTACCTTCCTCCTCTTTCTATCTCTCTCTCTCTCTCTCTCTCTCTCTCTCTCTCTCTCTCTCTCTCTCTCTCTCTCTCTCTCTCTCTCTCTCTCTTTCTCTCTCTCTCTTTCTCTCTCTCGTTTCTCTTTCTCCCTCCCCCTCTCACTCCTTAGTAGTTTCCCCCATAAGGGAGCACTGCTGGTCGCACCGTTTGGGTGGATGAGATTAGCCCCTGCATAGTATGTGTCTGATCTCATAGAGCCCATTCTCTGGGTATTTCTTTTACTTTGCTCTTAAAGTGAGTCTTGCAGATGACAATTGTTGTTTGTTTGGACTATTAAATCCATACACAAGTTTGTGTGGATGTGGAAAAATTTGCTTTGATATTTTGCTGACCTGGACGTACCTCCTATTCATTCTCTTGTTATACAATTATCTAGTAACAACTCATTCTAATGTGTATATATTTAGTTCAATTAAACTATCACTTGTTTAAATGTTTTCCAAATTATAGTATCCAATGTTAGAGTCTAAATTGTCAGGTGATGAGCACAAAAAGAGACATGAGATGTAGAACGAGAATAGAAAGAGATATTAGATTACATTATTTGGAAAATCCTCCATCTAGGGTCTTATAAATTGTCATCGCACCCTCAAGGAGAGAATCATTTAACATAGAATATGATTTTTTATAGTTTTTTTACTAAATAATGAAGATAAAATATATTTAAAATTCATGAAAAGTGAAATAAGGGTGCAGACATCATGATAATATCAATGGCTTAACGAACATGAATCAATCAGAAACAAAATTTTAATTAATAATTCTTACATAAATAATTAAAAATAAATTAATTGGTCAAATTAAGATCTATAAAAGCTAGAATAATTGTAATTTAATAAAGAAGAGTTGTGAAACTTGAAATCACATAAAATATCACTAAATTAAGTGAAAATTAAATTGAAAGTAAGAAAGGCTGAATTCTGATCTTATGATAGTGATTGTCAAAATTATGTGTTTCGGAGGATTATCATATAATGTCTATAGCCTTAAAGACTTTTTTAGACAAGAATGATGTAGACAATCTTTAAATCTTCTTGTGAAGTCTAAAAATCAAGAAGGTAAATTGACAAATCATCTCTAATAGTTGTCACTCGACATATTAGAAAAATAGCGACTTTGAGAATATCTGACAACTATCACCTAATAAAGATAAACTAGATAGAGGTAGGACACATCTTAAAGAGCTTCATCTTCTAGTTCACACTGTAATAAAAGGTTCTTCATTGCATCTTATTTGCTCATAGAAGGTGATAACTCATCTCTCGGTGGATCATCTATTTTTTAATGACTACTTGTTCATCAATTAATTAGAGATAGTTTATTCAATTGATTCATGATCTCTTTATATATGATCATTTAGTAATTTAGTAATGATGCTTTACAAATTATATTGATATTTTTGTCAATAATTGAATGATTCTAGTGACTTAATCATTGATAAGTAATCTTTAAAAAAATCATGATTTAATTAGATAAAAATATAAGTTTTTGCTTTGATGAGACTCGAACCTTCACCAATTGCTCGCCTATATGAGAGAAAGTAAAATAAGTATGTAAATACATTTATAAAGTGACATCATAAGGGTATTTTTTCTCATAAAAAATGAGTATTTTAGGTATTAAAATTATTAAAAAAAATCTAGGAAGTTATGATGTCAATTTAGTCCCTCATCGACTATTTTCTAAGTTTTGAGGTGGATATATAGTAACGTAATTATGTGGTCAATAAGTTTTTCTCTCGTGTGTAAGACCACTCCTTACCCCACTCTCGATTGCCCACCAATGACATAAAAGGGGAGTGACACACACATGTATTCAATCGGTCCTTAGCCACTCAAGCCTCTTGCTCACAACTCCACTCATACTATGTTTCCAACCTGTTTGTAGGCTCGAGTGGCCAGTGGGTCCCTAACCTTTTTTATATTTTTATTTTATTTTATTTATTTTTATTTTTCTAAAAAATGTGATTATAAAAATTATATAAATATATATAAAATCACATAATTAGTCAAAATTTCACATTAACTAAATAAAAACTCTTTTTTATAATTTAACATAAATAGAAATCTATTTATGATGAGCTAAAGCTTAAAATATATTATTAATTAATTATTAATTCATGATAATGAAGCCTTATCAACTACTATGGAGGTAGCAAAAGAAGCTTCGTGATTGAAAAGATTATTGAAAGAGCTTAAAATCTGATAAGGTAAGGTTTCTTTATTATGTGACAGTCATAGTATTATATGTTTAATGAAAAATCAAATTTATCATGCATGGTCGAAGCACATTCATGTGTGATATCGTAAGATTCATAAATTGCTAAATTCTAGAGAGATCTCTCTAAAAAAAGTTCACAAAGAGAAAAATATCACTAATATACTAATGAAGGTCATCAGGTTTAAAAGTTCAAACATTGTTTGGACTTGATTCATATCGCATATACTTTGAAAAGTTAGAAAACCTGTATCATGGAAGAACATCTACTCCAAGTGTAGATGGGATGTCTACCAAGGTGGAGTTTGTCAGGGGGTGTTAGACATCTCAACAACAGTAGATGAGTGGGTCTTGGCTTTGCCCATTTACCCTTTTGTCCTTAGTGGACAGGGCCCCATTGGGGCCCATTTCCATCTTATTAGTTGGGACTAAAAACCCTTGCGAAGAGTGTACGAGGACTGGTTTTGTAGCTGCTGAAGAGATGAAACGAGAAGTTTCCGCTCCTTTCTGGCTCTCTTCTCCTCCTCTCTCCTCTCCCTCTATCTTGGCTCCTCTCCTCTCTCTATATCACAGGTGAAGACACTGAGAAAAGGTGATACATCCACAGGTTTGTCTAAAGCTATTTTGGAGACTGGCTAGAGGCATGTTTGCTGAAAGACTCATTCTTCGGGAGTTTGCCTTCTAGTTCGCTTATTACTCCAGTGTCATTTACATTTATATAATCCAGAGATTGTGCTTCCACAGTATCGATCTGTGCCAAATATATATTACTTCTTCAACATAAGGTCAGTGCATCATATCTCATTTCAGTAATTGGTATTAGGACAACTCTACACATCAAAATTCTAGACGACCCGTTTGGATTATAACAGTCCTAAATGGATCACTACTCACACTCAGCTTGACGGTCTCCACCGGTGCATTTTCCCTTCAGCGCCCTTCCAAAATACTCTCGCTCAACCCATAAATGAATGATCTCGGCGATCTGCCAACACGGACCCTCAGATTTCTTCCAAACGAAAAACCAGGCTGCTTCGGCAATGGTAACACACTGCTTTCACTTTTCAGCATGGAAACGACTGAATTCATCGTAGGTCTGTCCGCCGCATCTTCCTCAATGCACAGTAATCCAACTTGAATGCACTTCAGAACCTCGTCCGCCTGGCATGAGCTCTTAACTGCCGGCTCCAGGAGTTCCACGGCCCTGCCTTCTTTCCACAGCTCCCACGCCTGCACCATTGAGTGAAAAGCAAATTAATTGGAAGGGAAGGGGAAACGTTTAATACAAATTCCCCGAAATACTTTATTCCAGAACCATTCTTATAACTCAATGTAATCTAGAAGCACACCAGATGGCTGGAACTCACATATCCCAGAAGATTCAGTGACTCCCTACATGGATAATACCCCGTGCATCTTTTCCCACTGATGACTTCTAAGACGATCACGCCGAAGCTGAAGACGTCAGATTTCTCAGAGAAGACGCCGTCTATGGCGTACTCCGGCGACATGTATCCACTGCACCCACAGCCCGAAATTCAGCGAGATTAGTCACGATAGGAGGATGAAACTGATAGAAGATTCGGAACTTGATTAGAACCTACAACGTTCCGACGACCTTCCTAGTATTTCCTTCGGTCTGGTTTATTTCAAATATTCTTGCCAACCCAAAGTCTGAGATCTTGGGGTTCATCTCGTTGTCGAGAAGTATATTACTCGTCTTCAGATCTCTGTGTATGACGCGCATTCTAGAGTGGTGATGAAGATAGAGAAGCCCATCCGCTATCCCTTCGATGATCATCAAACGCTTCTCCAAACTGAGTTCCTCCGATCTGGCTGGTTCCCAGTAATAAAACAAAACCGCATTAATTATTTACGAAAATTCCGAAGCTTGCAGCCTCCTGGGCGGAATCGGATTTATAAACCTTGACGGAAAAGAAACCCACCAAATATGAGCTTGTCCAGGCTCTTGTTGGGCATGTATTCGTAGATCAGAATCTTCTCGTCTTGGTCGGTGCACCATCCCAGAAGACGAACGAGATTCTTGTGTTGGAGCCTGGCGATGAGTCTGACTTCGTTGGCGAACTCGTGGTGGCCTTGCTTGGAGCCCCTGGAGAGCCTCTTCACAGCTACCTCATGCCCACTCACCAGCTTCCCCTGAATAAAGAGACTCAGATGTACTTATACCTTGATAAATTGATATATATATGTGTGTGTGTGTGTGTGTGTGTGTTGTGTGTGTGTGTGTGTGTGTGTGTGTGTGTGTGTGTGTGTGTGTGTGTGTGTGTGTGTGTTTGTGTGTGTCTGTCTTTGTTTGTATGTAAATAGGAAGAGCAAGAAAAGGGGAGAGAGAGGGGGAGAGAAAAAGAGAGTTCATCCTACGCGGTTGCGATCTATAAACTACGACTACTTCCTGAACAGCACTGATCTAAGAGGCAAGTTACTGGTAATAACCTTGTAAACGGAACCAAATCCCCCTTCGCCGAGCTTGTTCGTATCTGAGAAATCAGAGGTAGCACATCGTACACTCTTCAAGTCCACCAGGGGCGCGTCTGAGAAGCCTTTGTCGCTTCCAAACGAATCAGAAATGTCGACGTCCTCTAACAGCATCGTCTTCCTTACCGTCCTCTTCCGGGCTTCGAGACAATCATTCGTCAGTTCGGCTACGCATTCTTCGTCCAGGCAAATAACAGAAGGAACAATCATTTATTACCGCGTGATCTGAGCCTCTTCACGAGGAAATAGGAGCCAGTCCCTACGAGGAGTGCACAGATAACTAGTACCGGCAGAAGGAACATGAATGATTTTTCCATCTTATCTGCGAGCAGGATAACAGAATCATGGCGGATTATCATGTGGGCTCTGCGATGTTAAGACAAGGGACATATTGGAATAAAGCTTACCCAGCTCTGACGCCACCAGCCGTATGTTCAGGTCATTCCCGTCCATATCATCGATCCAAAGATCTATGAGTTCTCCGTACCAAACTTGGCAGATGTAACCGTCTGACTCTACGCTCGTGTTGGCATAACTGTAAGCAGTGCATTGGCAGTTGGAGAGGCACTCGATCTTGCACTCGGCTTCGGTTTTCTTGCCAATGATCCTCGATCTATCCGGCAGCTTCAGACTCTCCACCTGCAGGAACTTGTCACTTTTGCTGCACTGGAGCCGAACCCTCCTTACGCAGCCGCTGGAGAAGATTTTCTTCTCCCATTCGGTCTGGTTCTTGGGAACAAACCCCTGTAGACACCTGCAGGTCGGCGGTTTCGCGTTGCTATCGCAGGCTCCCGACGGCCCGCAGTGTGCATAGAAATCGCAGAACCTGCTTGGCCACGAAGACGTCGGAACCCACTCACTCGATGCCTCCACCCACACCATAAACTTCAGCTCTCCGGAGGGCACCAGAGTGCATCTCGGTGGGACAGAGCCCCCAGCGCCGGTTATGCCGAAAGAGACTTCGTCTCCCACCCTTGAGACCCAGATTGAGCACTGAACTCCACCCGTAGAGCCTGCATACCAGCCCAGAGTGCTTTGGTAGGAGACCCTCCAGTAGGTTTTGAATCCTCTCCAGATGACGAGCTGTTGGGAGATCGGACCGAAGGAGAAGTTTCCCGAAGAGGGATCGTCGACGTCCCTCCACGCAATGGCCCTCTGGCCTATGCCTGTTTTCTGGTTGTAGCGAAGCTTCATTTGAGGCAGAAAAGTGTCGGTGGGGTGGTCGAAGCTCTGCCAGACGTCCTGCCCGTTTTCTTGTCTCAGAACCAGATTGCCCGAGTCCAGAAGCATGGCCACAGTTCCGTTGGGGACGCCCGGCACGTCCGAGGACCACATAGAGCTTCTGTCTGAGTCTACCACAGCGATGTTCCTGTCCTCGGTGACGGTAAGAAAGGCAGCAGGGTCGGTGACCGGCTGATCCCTGTTGGCGACCCACACCACAGTTATCTTGGGGATCCTGTTGTACCATATCCCTAGGTAACGATTTTTTCTCCCAAAGGACTCACTACCGGGGTAGAAGAACCCCAGGGCGAAGGTCCCACCGGCGGACACGAGAATCTGGTTCCCGGTGATCACCTGCCCGGGCGCCAGTACGTCGCGCGCTGCCGTCGCCAGCAGGTGGGGCGGCGATGCTGTGCACAGAAGAAGGATGAGAATGGAGAAAGAGAGCCCACTCATTGATCAGGAGCCTGGTGCACTCAGGTTTTCCGCTATATCGTCTCCAACCTCCTGCATCCTTCTTCCCTCTCCCGGAAGAGAAATGAGGAGAGACGAAGATGAGCAAGGAGAAACCACCTCTCCATTTCAGACGGCGGAATTCAGATGGGCGAGCACCATCCACCACTCCGAATTGGCGCACTGGTTTTCGGAAGTAACATCTTCGAATTGGCGTCCTTCACCCCGCTCCCCCAAGCGGACCTCTAATGCTCCGGTCTGCGAACTCCGACGGTCGAACACGGGTTCTTACGTGGGTGCCACAACTTTCCGGCGGCGGAAGTCCACCGGAAGCTGAACAAACCACCGGCATGCGCTGGCAGTTGATTTTGCATCTTTCAAAGATGTCGACAAAACTCCTGCCGTCGTTTCTAGGGAAAATGTTATGAAGTTTCCGGCTGGACAAAGCAAGTAAACTGCCGTCGTTTTCAGCTCGCACAGTAATTTCACATTAAATGCGGTAACTTTAGTTGGATAGGGGAATAAGTCAAATTACCTCATTCCTCATGATTTGGATAGTTTACTCTGGTCAGCAGGATGCCCTCTCCGAACACATATTAGTGTGTATCGTTGACATTTTTTGGTGTCAAATGGTTTGGATAACCCTTATGTGGCCACCAACTTGACCTGTGACTTGGACTACCACGCGGGCTTTGTCCACAGCTCTCTCTCTCTCTCTCTCTCTCTCTCTCTCTCTCTCTCTCTCTCTCTCTCTCTCTCTCTCTCTCTCTCTCTCCCTCTCTCTCTCTCTCTCCCTCTCTCTCTCTCCCTCTCTTTCTCTTTGCGCCATGCCCAGCTCACCAACAGATGCGCTGAAGTTTGAGAGAATAGTGGGCTCAACTAGTGGCCCATGATCGGCATTTGACAATAACCTTACTTTCGGCCGCATTATATATTTAAGAATTAATTTGTTGCACTGGAAACTTTTTGAGTCGTGGATTCGGGTCTTTAATGGGCCGCCCAAGCCGGCACCGAGGCTCTTACAGTAAGGTTACTTGGCCCTTGATGGAAAGCTCAGCCTCAGGGTCCAGTAAGGTTACTTGGGCCGATATCCAGCTAGAGTTTAGGGCTTCACCCTTTCTGGCCCGAGCCCAAAAATCTCGGACCGATATGCTAACACCGCCATGTTGACGGTAAGACCAGTTAGCGGCGGCGGTCACCTCTCGACATGGAGATTACCACGATCGCTTGCGGATCCGATCTTCTCCGGCCACTAGCTCGACGTCATGGCCCTATCCCACCCTCCTGAAACGCCTCGATCGATGCGAATAAAGGAATATCGCCTCTTTCTACAAGGCTTTTGATTCGTCCTCCATCGTCGAGCTTATCCTAAACGGTGTGGGCTGTCAATGAATGATTTCGCGAAGAAGAAGACAGGAAGACAGAGATAGAGAGCGAGAGAGAGAGAGAGAGAGAGAGAGGAGATTAACCTATGTACACTGTCCAGTCTCAAAAAGAATGTGGGGAAAAAGGACAGCGAGAAAAAGAGAGATTAAACTAGACACTCGACTACCAATGAAGAATTGGGGAAAGACAGCGAGAGAGAGAGAGAGAGAGAGAGAGAGAGAGAGAGATTAGCCTGTATACACTGTCCGCTATCAAAAAAGAATGTGGGGAAGACGGACAGCGAGAAAAGGAGAGATTAAACTACACAATCAAATATGAACAACGAAAAATTGGGGAAAGAGGGAGCGAGAGAAAGAGAGAGAGGAGGGGTTTCTGCCTCTGTCCTATCGTCCGGCGAGCATTGTGACGGTGACGTCGTTCACAGAGAAGCCGTCGCCGTTGTGCTTCTGGGACTCCGTGTCGCTGGGGCTGCCGTCGGCGACGAAGGTCGGCTGCTTGGGGAACTCATGGAGGGGGTTCTGGCTGGAGAGCATGATAACCACCGAGGACATGGTGGGCCGGTCGTAGGGGCGGTCCTGCACGCAGAGGAGAGCGACGTGGACGCACCGCAATGCCTGCGTGGCGTCGCAGCAGTCCATTATGCACGGGTCGATCAGGTCTTGGGCCCTCCCTTCCGTCCACAGCTGCCACACCTGAACCCACCAGTTTCAACACTCGAGGATTAGTTCATAAGAAAGAATAAAGGAAGACAAATGCGTCAACTATGCATTAGTTTATCTCAACTGATGCTAAGTCACTCCAAGATGCACTCATCATCAGCAATTTTCATAGATCATGTAAAGTCCACATTAGAGATGATATGCGTGCAGACTAGGTCTCTCCCTAGAGATGTAGAACGATATGAAAAGGATGGAAGTAAGAGGGGAGAAGAACGGGGAAACTTCGGAGTTTGAGGCGGGTCGAAAGCTATATTATATACTCACGTATCCAAGAAGATTGGTGTAGTTCTCCGACCGAGTCCTGCTGTTCTTCCTCCCGGTCACAATCTCCAGCATCAGGACGCCGAAGCTGTACACGTCCGACTTCACCGAGAACAACCCTTCCATGGCATACTCTGGAGACATGTAACCGCTGCATTTTCCACGGAGAACTTGTTAGATTCGGAAACGCATCCAAAAATATCGTTTTTTTAGACTAATTTTCTCATTTTTTCAACTTGATGCCGTTGGATGAGTTATTGGGAAGACACAAACGGCAGACTGATAGATATATAGATGTATTCAGCTGATACTTACAACGTGCCGACCACCCGGTTGGTGTTGTCGTGGTTCTGATTGCCGCCGAAGATCCGGGCCATCCCGAAATCCGAGATCTTAGGGTTCATCTCTTCGTCCAGCAAGATATTGCTGGCCTTCAGGTCCCGGTGAACTATCCGAAGCCTGGAATCCCGGTGGAGGTAGAGGAGGCCCCTGGCGATTCCTTCAAGAATGTCGAATCGTTTCCTCCAATCTAGAAGTGGCCGCCTCACCGGATCTGCACATATAACAGATGAAGCCGATTATCTATCAAGCTATCGATATCTCCTCCTGAATCTAAGCACCGTGTAGCATGATTGTATAATGGCAATATATACACATAGCGAGAGAGAGAGAGAGAGAGAGGGATACCAAAGAGGAAGACATCTAAGCTCCTGTTCGGCAGGTACTCATAGATGAGTACCTTCTCGTCCCCTTGGAAGCAGTACCCGAGGAGTCTAACCAGGTTCCTGTGCTGCAGTTTGGCGATCAGCGTGACCTCGTTCTTGAACTCGTCGAGGCCTTGGCCGGAGCTCCTTGAGAGCCTCTTGACGGCGATCTCCTCCCCACTGGGCAGCACCCCCTGGTCCGAAAGCAAAGCGAGTCAGCACCATTTGGAAGCCACTGTAGAAGTTTTATCCCCGATCAACGCCGGACTATTCCAGCTTATAATATAGCGGTCATCACCTTATGAACATCGCCGAATCCGCCCTCTCCGAGCTTGTTAATGTTGCTGAAGTTGTCCGTGGCAACGGCGATGGCCTCAAAGCTGAAGACGGGCAACTCCGGAGAATCCCCCTCGGTTTTGTCTTCCAGTTCTTTCGGGTCAGAGAACTTCGTTGGCCCGTCTCCACTGAACCCTGACCCGGCCGTTGAGCTACCTCGCCCCTTTCTTTTGCCCACTCTCCAGCCTGTAGAAGGCGAGGCAGAAGATTAAGGCATACTTGATACCGATCATAAACTTGGAAACCCAGCGGTTGTAACGTCAATACCTTTGATATTAGCCATGTACTTCCACCCAATGAAGAGACATAGGAGCAAGATGACAACGAGGACAACGGGCAGGACGATCGATAAAACCCTCTTCTTGCTCTCATCTCCGGAATCTAGAGAGAGAAACCGAAGTCGATCAATTTTCTCTAGAACAAGGAAATATCGAATACCAAAGGAGCAGAATCAGAAATCATCAAGGGGTAAAACTCATGCGGGCAATCCAATCCGAACTCAATGTAACACCCTCACTCTCGCGTCGTGTAATGTCGTATGTATGACAGAGGTGGTGTGGTGATTGATCTCAATGCTAATGGAACATTAATGTAAACGCTGCTTGATCACTCGTCCCCATTGGCTCTATTAAAGAACTCGAGTTTTTCCTCGCCCTCGCGTGGGAGAGCATCTTACCATGTTTCACGAATCATGGGACCGGCATACGAGAAAAGCTCTGAAATGTCAGCCTCGAGATAGTGAAAAGAGAAAGCAGGACGAAGGGAACGACGAAGATGTGGAGCCCACGATCGGACATGATGCTCCGAATGGAGACCAGGTCATACCTCCAGTGTGGAAGATAAAATCATTTTACTTCAGCCGAATATAGAGTAACGGTCTCTTACCTAGATCATTGCTGTCGAGTTTGAGGTGTAGGGTGTTGCCGCCGGTGATAAACTTGGCAAGATCCACCAGATCGACGGACCACACCAAGCAGCCCAGATCCTCCACAAAGGAGTACGCAGCGCAGGAACAGTTCGCCGAGCAGTAGGCGCCGCAGGCCGCCTCGTCGTTCGCCGTCGATGCCCACTCGGAGAAGTCCGGCAACTTGACCATCTCAAACGTTGCAAACCCAGTTGCTCCGCCGGTACCGTTGGCGGCGCACCCCAGAGGAGTCCTCCGAACGCACCCGCCGCCCCATTCCCCGTCGGACTTCGGCAAGAAACCTTGCAGGCAGCTGCACTTGGGCGTGGCTTCCTCGTCGCAGAGGCTGTAATTCCCGCAGAAGTTGTAGGTCTCGCAGTCGGTCAGCGGCTGCGCCCAGACTCCAGTCCACGACTGGTTTCCCGAATTCCAGGTCGAGGTGTTCTGGATCCCGTCCGACTGCATCACGAACCTAAGCAGCGATTCTTCGTAGCTGAAGCTGAGAACCATCTGCCCGTTGTTATTTGGGTCGAGGCTGAAGCCGTAGATGGAGAGGGCCTTCATCCGGGTGATTCCAATGAAGGACCTCTTGTTCCACTGCCCAGACCTCCACCGGATCGCCGACCCATTCCATATGTAGATCTGTGCGGACCCCAGGGGGTCGAGGCCGAGCGAATACCTCCCCGGTGCCGG